TACTTAAAGTATTAAAAGTACTCTTAATATGTGTTATACTATTATATATTACATTATATTATATTAATATGACTCATTCATTAGTGTAAAAGCAGGATTTTACTGGTTTAGTTACTGGTATAGAACTGCATCTGATGAGTATTCTCATTATGGATTAATCAATTATTATTATTATTTCTCAATTGTTCAATTGATTGATTTGTAAACATAGTGAGAAATGCCATCACAATTACACAGAACCCAGTGACACCTTCACAATGGTTGTTTTGTCAGAATTTGAAATTAAATTAAAAATAATTTAAAGGAAAAGGAACAAATTAAACTTTTTTTGGATGAAAAACATTTATTTGATAGATATTATGTTAGATTGTTGGATAGTTTCATTTATAACTAAAATATAATCCTATTTTATGAGCTCTTTGTATGTGCTGTATGCAAAAATCTTCATTTGTGAAGTAACTAGTAACTAAAGCTGTCAGATAAAGTAAAATATTTCCCTCTAAACTGTAATGGAGTAGAAGAAGACTCGAGGAAAGTACACGTACAGGCTGTTGATCTTTGCTGTCGTGTGTCTGACATCTGCTGGACAAACACGCACTTAGTCCTCAGTTACAAATTAAACTTTTTATTATTGGCTCTATTCCACAGTTAATTCAAGTCAAAATAACATTCAGTAAACAATAAACAACAACAAACTCATTCTCAATCAGTACAAGACTCACACAATACACATCGTAGTTGGCACAGTTCAAATCATCAGCTCTTTTAAATCTCATTATTAAAAGGCAGGTAGAGCCGATGTCTTGATTTAAGACCTCTGCGATCCATTCATAATGAATTAAAGATAGAGTTGGGCTGTATGTGGTGATTTTATGGGTTCTGTAGTATAATCTCCTAGAAAGACATTGGTATGTAACTGTAAATTCACATTTTTATAGGTAATCTAGTACTAATTATAAGGAAAATAAAGACAGTGTTAATTTGTTAAATACACTTCCAGTTAATTAACTATTGCTAACATAACCTAGATAATCTTAGTTTTAACAAAAATTGAGTTGACAGTAACAAATAATTCAATTTCAAATCAATGATTGGTTGTTTATTACTGAGTTTATAGTTAAAGGTGATGTTGTACTGGACTACATTACATTAAGGGGTGTTTTTTATTGATTTATTATTAATACTGTGTTTTTATTTAGGTTTAAACTCAACATAACCAACTAAACTCAAACAACTGGCTATTTCCTCTGAAATTAGTGCAAAATTACATATTGTAGTTCTAGTAAACCTTCTTGGAGATTACGGACGTGTAAAATCAAACGTTGGCTCTTATTTTAACACTGAAAATGGACCACACTCTGCTACTAAGTACTGATGACAAGTGGACAGTCAGTGGTACAGATTGTGCTTTTTCAAGAAATAAGACACAGTTTCTACGTCCTAAAGGTTAACAGCAACAACGCTGAATAACCAACGTCACCGTCAATCATTGTTTGACCAGACGAGGAGCAGTTTGCTCTACCGTGTCGGTCAGTGTACTTTCTGTATCCGCACAGCGTCTTCTCATTTCGTAATGTGGGGAAAAGGTTAAGGTTGTACAGTACAGTCAGGTTGTGTCACACCTCTGAAAAAACTGTGTAGTGACATCAAGGACTGTTCAGGGTTCGGTTCAGAGACAACACGATGACGTTAGGCTTGTTGGTAAATCCTACACACAGTAACGCCTATTCAATCAACATCAAATGGTTTTCCATCAGTACCTATAGATGAGCTTCAAGTGAGATAAAGTTTTTAAATCAGTGATGAGATGAACTCCCTGTTGAGGTTCGTCTCATGGGGACAGCCGCTGGTACACCCAGCCTCCCTCGGCAGCGTGCTGAAACTCTCCCAGCTCAGACTCCCCATCCTTCGACTTGGTGAAGACGATGCGGTCGTGAAGTCTGTTGGTCTGACCCTGCCAGAACTCGATCAGGTAAGGCTTGACGATGTAGCCGCCCCTGTTAACAAAGGAAGGACAGAATATTAAGAAAAACCTTGATGTGAAAACCTTTCTGTGGAGTGGAAATCAGCCTATAAGCTCCTCTGACGCTCACTAGTTAACACATCATAACCATGGAGTTATTTTTAAGCTTGATTTGTGTCCACCTAATGAGCACATAGATCACATTTTATAAAAAAAAAATGATTCTGGAAAGAAAAATGACATTTGAGCAAACAAAAGTCTATCTTGTCCTCAAATATGATGAAAAATATAATGCCATATACGCTGACAACACATAAAGCCCCTGTATAATGGCAAATTTTGTTTTTTTAATCTTTGGATTTAGTATGTATTTTGCATTTTATTTTATTTTGTAAACTTTAGGACTTGAACCAGGCTAGTTGTTTGTCCTTGTTTCCAGTGCTGAGTGCAGGGCTTTGTACTAAGCCAGATTTAAGAGTTTTATTGATTCTATACATTCCCCAAAATGTAGCACTTAGCTTTTAACATGACTTAAACCAACGCGTCGTCACCTTTCACATCATTTTAAGATTTCATGGTTTAATTTAATGTAAAATGCTCACCAGTAATCAGGCATAGGCACCTCTGTGTCCTTGTACTTCTCCTCAAGTTCTGCATTTTTCTGCCTTAGATACTAAAATAAATTAGGCTCAATTAGAAGTGAAAATTGAACCTTTAACATTTATATATTACCGACAGAACAGCGTATAATTCTCACATCTCTGTTAGGAACCGGAGTGCTTTGTCGGCTCACGACAGCCCCGATCTGGCTGCTCTTTGGTCGGGAGTGGAAGTATTCTTTGGAGGTCTGGAAGGGGATTCGCTCTACATCGCCCTCAATGCGAATCTGAATGTTAAAATTACAGTTAATAAACGTTTATTGTGGGAAAATCAATTAAAATATTATCAGTAAGACAGTGTTTGATGAGCACATGAGCGATGCTGACCTGTCTGTTGAGAGGTTCCCAGTAGAAGACCAGACATGCATACGGATTGCTCTCCTGTGGACAAAGAGCCGATCAGACCATCACATTATTGATGAGATTCATAAGTAAAATGCTAAATACTACAGAAGATAGTGATCTCTGAACTCAGCATTAAATGTACTGGAAAACTGATGTTTCCATCAAGATGTGTTCAAACAACCAGTGCAAGCAGAGTATCCAAACTAAGGCTGCAGTTATTTTAATTAATGATTAATCGTTGAGGTATTTTCTTGATTCATTGATAAATCGTTTGGTCCATAAAATGTCCCAAAAATAGTGAAAAAGAAGCATTCAAACAGCTTGTTTTTGTCAAACCCAAATATATTCAGTTTATAATCTGAGAAGACATAAAAATATTAACATTTAAGATGCTGGAAGGAGAGACATTTAGACATTTTTCCATAAACGATTAACCAATTATCAAAATGTTACTGATCAACTAAGCAATTAAAGGAGTAATAATTTCAGCTGTGTGTTTACCTGCAACCATTAATTACATTAATTAGAAAACAGTATAAAAAACAACAGTCCAAACACCCTAAATATATTTAATTTGCAATAAAAACAAATAGAGAAAAGCAACAAGTTGTTGAAACGAAGCAGCTGGAATCTGAGAATATGTAGATTTTACTTTGATAAAATGACTTAAATTAATTATTTGTCCCCTGGTTTCAGTATCACAAAGCAGCAGACACCAATGCCTCATTATGAAGGGAATATACATGAGCAGTGTCAATGCTTTTATTGGGGTTTTAAAGGTCACATAAGGTCACAAAGAGGATGAGAGACTCACCAGCTCAGAACCCTTCCGGCTCTCGTAGTTGGTAAAGAATCTGAAACCTTCACTGCTGTAACCTTTCAGGAGGACCATACGAGCTGATGGACGTCCGTCTCTGCACACACAGATTTAAAGGCTGACGTTAAGAAAACAGAAAACAGAAAACAGAAAATAAAAAACACTTCAACCTTCTGTTACCTACTTGCTGGCAGTGGCAATGCACATAGCATTCGCCTCTCCAATTTCAGGACACTTTGTGGCTTCATCAAACCAGTTTCCAAACTGTTTGATTGGGTCCAGAGATGCAAGCTGGCTCTCCTCAAAGCACTGTGAACAGAAACATAATCATCTATACACACTAATGCACTTAACCTCATGCAGGCCTATAGGTCAAGTGTCCAAAGTGTGACACACCTGTGCAGCATGAAAACACCTGCTTGCTCCAGCTGTGCACTCAAAACAACACATTGCAGTATTTGTACACCACTGGACTTTATGACCTTGCAGTTGCACGTAGCAGAACAGTGGATTAAGTGATATAAGTGAGTATATTCCACCCTGACACAGGTAACTCAAGTGTTTCCAAGGCTACTCACGTCCTCATCTCCTTTGTATTTCTTCCTCATGTCACTCAGGTCCATGTTTGAACGGTCACTCGTTGATTTCCTGTATAAATTCAGTGCAGACCCGCTTTGTTGACCCGCCGTGAAAGAGACATGAGACGGACGGTTTCTGCTAAATACGCCGATATGCTTTAATAAAATCGTACTGAGTTTGCGCCTCATGCTTGTAAACTGACGCTGACGTAACCGCGTAACCTTGCGTAAAAGTGTTACGTAAAAAGTTTTGTAACGGCTCAAAATATTTAAGTATAACAACGTTTTGGACGAATTAAAATCATATTTCTACACTTAAGCTTTAGTTTAGATTAAATATATATATATATATATATATTTTTTTGTGTATTTTATTTAAACATAAAATCCGAAACGCGATGACGTCGATGCGTTATGCTGCATTCAGGTCATATCTGTTTTTACGTGTGGAAAGTCCGTTAACGTCAGACACTCGCTGTAATCAATGATGTATTATCTCCCAGTTAAAAAGATAATAAATTGATTTAATCTCTCTGACACTTATAATATAATATCTTCAATTTGATGTTACACAAGTGTCAACACACTGGTGGTAAAATGGCATAAACAAAATAATCTAAAATATATAAAAATATAAACAAAATCCGACATTAAAACCGATACAACCGATTTAGACATTAACAAATTAGCTATATATTGTTTTTTATATCTGCTTTTGCTTGTTGGTGATTATAAATGATTAAAAAAAAACAAATAAAATAGGATTAGTTTAGATGTGATTGTCTTTCGCCCGACGCGGCCATGAATGCAGCATTTACGCTGTCGTCACTTCCAGAATCACGTTTTCCTGCTAAACATGGCTGCGACCTTGTGTGTGAAATTACTACCGAAACAAGGTAACGTAGAGGCAAAAAACTGCATTTCTACCAGCAGCTCTCCGTCTGTAACGAGTTAATACTTTGTTACCTGTTTTTCTAGAAGCATTTAAAGCAAGCAGCGTTATCTTAGCTCCAGTTAAACAGCCTCACATCCGTTTGCAGCGCAGCCTCAGGGCTTTAAGTTAAAGTTGTGTTTGCAGCTGTTTAACAGACTTTGTGCCTTTTCAGGATGGCTTCCCCTGACACAGACTGTTCGGCACGGCTCCAAGGCTGTGACTCGCCACAGGAGACCGGTGCACATCCTCAAACAGAAGATCCTGGCTGTCACAGAGTACATCCCTCCTAAGCGGCCTTTTCCTCCAGGCGCATATCCATCCGAAACCCAACGAGTCCAGGAGGTAACATTCACCCCATTCCCAGAGCTAGCTGCCAGAAGTTTGTGCACGACAAAACATTACACTGGGCGTCTTATTCCTCATGCACAGGCTTATATCTGCTGCTATAGCTTCAACTCTCCTGGTTTTAGGGTTTCCAGAAGATGCTGCAACCTGCAGAGATTTGCTGCACAATTAATCCCAATATTATCCAATTAAGTGCAATATCCAAATCTTAAGAAGCTGTATTTTCTTTTTGGATGAAGGTAAAATATGTGACAAACAGCGTTATAATTAAATATTGTAGTTCTGAAGAGACGCCCTGGCCTAAAAATCTTGTTCTCCAGATGTAAGAAAACTTGTTTATTGTGTTACAGATCCCAACAAATGTCACATCATCATGATTTTAATATTTATTTTATGTGAAATTTATGCAAAAACGATCATTTACCACATAGCTGTGAATTGCAATAACATATCGTGCAGCCCTATTATAAATATACTTATATTTATATAATTGCACTTTTATTCTTAATACACTGTATTGCCAGCAGATTGATGTGATCAGGATTTACAGTCTTGTGGACTAACTTTTTATTTTAACAAGGTACAGCTGCTTGTGAAGTTAAGTGTCTCTTGTTAAATAAAAAAAAAGAGACATACGTCTGCATTAATGTAGAAAATATTCAGATGATATCTGTAGAAACATCACTATCGTCCTCAAACCTCAAGCTGTACTGTATAACTGTATAAACACCTCAGATGACAAGGAGGGACCATCTCTTATTTTCTTGTTTTAAACCACCTTTACTAAAATCCACTTCAGTTCCACTTCACTGTGAGACAAACTCTCTTCTCTTTTTGCTCCACCAGGAATCTCCTTTCGTCATCCTCTTAAAGAAGCAATTGGAGAAAGTGTTCCAGGACTGTAAGATGGTCGCTGTGGTCCAGAACAACGCCTGCAATGCTGAAGACATGCTGACTCTCAGGCACAGACTTTATAAACATGGCATCACTGTCAGGTTCTTTCCCAACCCGGTAATGCTAAAATTGCTAATTACTAATTACTAAGCGTGTTGATTGTGACGTTGAGCCCTTCCTCTGTGTAGCTTGATCAGACAGTAGAGAGATGATGAGACTGTATTACTGTATATTAGTGAGATAAACCATTTTATGTTTCCTTTACTCAGAAGACACAACACAACCTAATTAAACCTTTAGGATCATTTAAAGTTATTCTAATCTTTTTAATTGTGCTCTTTTTTTTTTTCCAGGTCATACGGTCATTCCTGAGCAGCAGCGTTTACTGCAACATGGCTCCTCTGTTCATCGGCCCGACAGTCCTGTTTGTTAGTAAAGAGCCAAAGGTGAAGCAGATGTTGACGACTCTGAAAGCCAGTCCACAGATGACACTCGTGGGTACGTTCGTCTTCTGTGTCTGCACGCATTTATTTACTTGTTATAAAACATTATTTAATACTCTAAGGGGGTCTTTGCAAACACTTAAAGTTATAAAACAAAGGCTTTTGAGAGTAACCACCACTTAAATAACTGATTATCTTCTTGTTGTGAAATAGTTTTATAATATAATGCAGCAGTCCCACTAAAGACTTAACTGGTAAAATTAATTCCACACCTGAGCTTTCATTACTAGTCAAACATTGCAACTTGTTTGCTTGAAAGAACATTTTCAGTATATCTGTGATTGAGAGATAAATACATAAACTTCTAAAAGTCAGACCGCTGGTCTGGAAGTATCTAGTGTTTTCATAATTTCATAATCTACAAATATATCTAAATTATTTGGTATGTAGAATCAAGTGTATGAAATGTCAAATAATGATAAATATCTATTTATAGATTGTTTAAATTCCTGGAAACCAAATGTATGTTGTCAGAAAACCCCAAAGATAATGAATTTAAAATGATAGAGCAGCAACTACTGATGTTTGAGTAGCTGAGTTTGATAAGTGAACTAAAAAGTCAAAATATTTCAGTCAATCAGTTAATTTACTTATTGTTTCAGTCCGCTGGAGTAAGATAAAATCCAGATTTAATATCAAACGCAGGATAAATGCAACATCTCTTTTTTGATATTCATTGACTTTACTGAAAAACGTATTTATAATTGCGATAAAGACATTTAACTGCAGCTCACTGACCACCACGCTGCTCTTCTCTCAACAGGAGCCTGTATAGACAACACGTTGCTGAGTGCACAAGGTGTGGTGAGCTACTCCAAACTGCCGTCAATCACTGTAGTCCAGGGCGAGCTGGTCAGCGGGCTGATGATGCTGACCTCCCACACGGTCTCCCTGATGCAGCGCCACCCGGCCCACCTGTCCGCCCTGCTCCAGCAGCACGTCAAACAGCAGAGCTCGGACGACAGCGCAGAGGAGGCCACGTAGAGCTTCGGAGGAAACTCCCGAGACTGTTGCCTCGCAGATTTCCTGCTACTTGAAACGACAAGGGACTGCTGGGTTGGATGCAAACTTTAGATTTTATTGTAAATTTAGTACCAAAAGTTCCAGGCAATTTTTTTTAAGATTAGAAGAACTCTGCAAAAACAAAAATCTTAAAAAATTTGAATGGAGCAGTTCAATTGGTGCTAAATTAGACTAACTTGTACAATGTGTGTCCACCCATAGGGGCACTGTGGCTACTGTCGACTGTTTTCAGTGCACTGCAACCTCTCAATGGAAGTCTTGTGTGGACAGTGCTGCAAAGGAATTCCTTTACTTAAGGATATGGTCACATATAAATAAACTATGTCAACACAATCTCTCTTTTGGATTAGTCAGACATGTATTTAAAAGTGGAATTGTCAGAAATCAGTGTTTCGTCTTGTTCCTGCAGTGTGATGTTTGATTGATGTCTGTGCAGAGTTTGACACTAGAAGGATGTTTCTACGTTCAGCTGCTGAAAGTGGAAAGTTTCTCTGTACTCATGGAAAATCTAATCTACGAGCATGATTTGTCAGGCTTCTCTTCTTCTAGTGTGTGATCCACCGGTGCACAGACACTGAGAATGGACTTTACATTAAGGGGACACGTGGGTTTGGGAGGCTTTCTTAAATTTAAGGGGTGTAAGAAAACTTTAAAAATATACACAGTAGATCTGTATGTCAGTGTTTCATTCATTTCTGTGAAGAAAACTAAAATATCTATCTAAAAAACAAAAAAAACCCTGCAATTTTCCAGCTTGGGATCAATAAAGTATATCTATCTAAATGAAATTGTCATTTTTAAAGGTTACACTGTAAAACCAATTAAGTATTAATCAAATGATTGTTAAAACTGATTACATTGAATATTTTAAGTAAAACTAACTAAATATTAGTTAAAATAAAGATAAAGTAGCTTTTGTCATTTTAAGTGACACTGACTTAATTTTGATATTTGTATTTAAAAAGCTTTTGTAGTTAAATTGAGTTTGTGTAGCTTCATTTTTTTTTAATGTAATCTGTTTCAACAGTTTTTCTGATTTAAAATAATTTATCGCATTACAGTGTATTATTTAATATCTAAACATCTACCTGTATTATAACAATAGTCAAGTATAAGAGAGAAGAAAACTCTGAATTGGTCAAAAAGAAGCCTATTAAGTCTTTATAACTGTGTTAATTGTACAGTTTACCTGCTATATAATATAAAATATCCATTAAATATGTCAGTCAGGGGTCATCAATGATAGAAAAGGTCTCTGAAGGAGAATACCAGCTGGAGTGGCGGCATTGTTGTCATAAGTGGCATCATGAAAACCACTCCAGCCAAAATAAACACAAGTGGTCACAGATTCTGATACACTAATCTGCAGATTACAGCATGTTAATCTGGGTCAGTTAGTCTAATGGCCCGCCTTTCTAAAGGGAGACTCAGGCGCTCACTTCAACACCACACTCCGCTGCAGAAGAGGGAAGGTCCCAGAACACATAAAGATCCAGAAAACCAACTAAATGTGTGTTAAATCTCTATATTGACAGATTAAAATCATTTAATCGCTGAGATTTTGGTTTTATCACAAATTGCTGCAGAAAGCAGAGAAGGAAGGCTCACCTGCACCATGAAACTGTTGGTATAATGGTAAATAAAGGTTAGATCATAACCTGCAATGAATGTTGGACAAATAAGAACCCGTTTTAACAAATATTTATGTTTTTCATGAAATTATCAACACACAAGCCCAAATTCCCCCTTAAAACACCACATTTAACCATATTTAATCATCCTTTTAACCCATCCTAGTACGGTAAAGCCCTATTTAAGATCATATTTTTGCTTTGAAACGAGTAAACTAGGTGTGTAGAGTGAGTGGAGGTTGGCTGGATTTACCCTCCACTACATCCCTGCTAGACACTCAGTGTAATTCCAACTAATGCGGATAATGCCCAGGACACATTGCGCACGACGCGCTCCCTGCGACGCGCAGCTCTCCTTGGATTTGAGCTCGAGTCAGTCACCGGCAGAGAGGGCACGGCCGGTGAGATTATGTGATCAGAATGAGTGATTATCTGTGGAAGTAACATGTAGTTTGACTTCTTTTATTTAGCGGTTTTCGATGGAAAAACGTTTTCTGCGTCGGAACGGTGATTTGCCGCAGTTTCTTAAACGCCAAATGAGACACTTGTTGGGTTTATCAGGCGCACAGGATTGCAACAGATGATGAGAGTCGGAGGTGAATTTCAGGTAAGACTTCTCTCCAGGTCTTTTTAACGTTATCTTGCACCGAAAACACGGATATGTAAAAGTTTGGGTTAAATTCTGATGCAAATTACAGAACCAAAACACCAGAATATTTGATATAATGTCTATAGAATATGTATTAAATTGTAATATCTGTCGTAAATGCATCGTGGCTCTTTGTTCATATTGATAAAATACCAAAACAAGTAAAACTTCCACTTCTCTGTGTGCGGGGACTTTTTTAATGGGCTTTGGATAAGAGCTTGTGCGGCCCTGAATAGTTCACATGGACCTTAATGGACTCGTGTGACATCAAGTTAAGATACTCAGATATATCAGAGTAGCTGCTTCCTGATTGTACTTGTCTGTCAAAACAAATGCAGTGTGTGTGTGTGTGTGTGTGTGTGTGTGGGACAGACATCCTCACACACTTCCACAGCTGTTGGAAGACAATGTGCTTCTCCTCCAGGTCCTGTTAGGTATAAATCATTTAAATGTTCTCACCTCTGATTTTAGATCACAAGCACACTGAGTCATTTGATCTAAATAAAATAAAAAATCCTCACTTTATCTATTGGAAATATTTGTACTGCACATGTGGAGAAATCTCACACTCATTCATAAATATCTGATCCTTTCGCCAGTTTTTTATTTTGCTGCAGTTTTTACTCCAAAAAACGAGATTATAGCTGTCATAATCTCTGCATCCCAACCCCCCCAGTCCTCTGCCAGTTTGGTAGTTTGGTGCCAAAATACATCCTTTACCTTGGCTGACTTGTTTGGTTGGCTTCCATTTCCATATAAGGAGCTCATTATGTCACCATCTATCAGTATGTGTATCTATATCTCCTCTCGCCTGGGCCTCACTGGAGGAAAAATGGCATTCTCAACAAAAAATTATTCTATTTTGATCGTTTTAATTCCTTTTTACATTTTTAAAATCTGATTTAAATTACTTTTTAATTACATTTCCTCAAAGTGCACAACCTCAACTGTATCTAACTACGGAACCTATTCTGTAAACAATAGATCACAGTGAGTTACATGGACCCTTTTACTTCTTTCTTCTTTTCTTTTTAACAAAAGCTTCAAATATTAAAGTATAGTCTTTACTCTTGTGGAAACAGTAACTTTAAGATCAAAACCGATTTGTTTTTAAACTTGTAGAATATTCTTTATTTTCTTCAGTGAGTAAACAAGCTCAGAAACCTACAAATCCTTTCATCCTGTTTCCACCACATGCTTTTATCACTGAGGTCAGTTACTCTCATCCTCTCCTGTCCTTATATAACAGCAAGCCAGGCGGGTTCTGTCCAGATTTAGAGGGATATCAAGTTTGGATGTAACGCACTATTCACTGTGTATCCATTCAGACGGCCTATATTCTTCACATCTTCATAGTGACTCTATTGATCGCACACTGGGGGAAATTCACTCGTTGCAGCAGCTCCAGATAGAAATACACATTAAATAACAAAATAAAATAGAAAAATACAAGATATAATGAAAGAAAACCCACTAAAAATACACTAAACACGCGGAGACTCTTAGAATCCTCAACGTAGTAACTTACCTATTGAGTGAATTAAGTTTGCAGACTCCTAAATTAAATAGACTGCGATGCTGCAGATGCATGTGTGCAACGTTTTCTCCATGCAAACAAAATGTGGTCACTGTCTCAAACATGTTCTGCTTCAAGTCTTTATGGGCACTACAGTGTAGTTATTCTGTTCTGTAATTGCACTGCAGAGTTTGTGTTTTTATGTCTGTGAAGCACTAAACTTGCTGTAAAAAGTGTTTATTTAAAGGAAATGATGTAAACGGGTCATTTCAAAGTGCTTTGATGCCAGTCCTACTGACATTTATCTGTTTTCTCCTGTTGTGATTGTGGTCAGCACTATGTTGTGTTACTGCTTTTCGCCTTGGGATTGTGTTTGTCCGTATCCGAGTGGCAAGTGGCTAAAACCATCCCTTGAAAAACCAATTAAGCATAGGTTGGTAATCCTCTGCCCGGCCTTCAGGCGGTAATGGCCATGGTGTCACATGCCAAGTTTGTCTGATTTGAAGCCTAAACTTCTAAATTAATCACTATTTTGGCATAAAAAAACATGTTTTACATTGAAAATATCTCTTATTTACTCGATTGGAGCATGTTTTAGGGTGTTTGTGTCTTTTTTAACCACTCCACCCATGTTTGTTCAAAAGATACAATAACAGATTTTTCTGTGACACAGCAACTGCAAGAATGACTCCACATCTTCATAGACGGTTCCTGTTTTTAAATCAAGAATATTACAAAGGAAACATTTAGCAACTCAAATACATAACTTTTTTGCCATATTCATGTAGAAATATACCGTGTAAAATCTTAAATGTTGCCACATCAGTTGTCTGAATATTTTGTTTTGTTATTCAGTGAAGTGCTCAGCGTGGGTGACTTTAAGATCCAGAGTGATCTAGATGAGGATAGTGTATCCAGGCAGCATTTACAACATCACAGGAACCGAGAGCTCAGCTCCAACCTCTGTTAGGTAACTGGATTACACAGAGTCCTAGCTCGTCTCCTGCTCCTGCGTTGAGCCTATTTAACACTTTCTCTTTGGTTTCTTGCTCGTGGAGCTGTCTCGCCCTCGTGGATCATTATACAGCTCTTCATAAAGGACAATATCAGACATATTCCATGTAGGCCATGATGTTTAATTGATAAACAGTAACTAAATTATAGATTCATTTTCAAAGGTTAATTATCAGGAAAAATGCCATAAATTGGCAGATTCCAGGTCCTCTAATGTGAAGATTTTCTGTTTTATCACATCATAAAATGAATATCATCAAGTTTCCTTTAGTAGCTATTGTGGAGCTGTGGATTCATGTCACACGATCTTCATCAGCAGATGGAGTTTGACCAGCTGTCATGGATGTGTATTTTGAACTGGGGTCAGTCTGAAGAAGGATTAATAGAAGTATTCACATCACATGTAGTCATTAAAGTAGCAATAAGCCACTAAGTGCAGAAGTATTAGCAACAAAATGTACTCAAAGTAAAAGTACACTAAATGCAGAAAGGTCCTGTCAGTGTTATTGGATCATTATTATTGATCCGTTTAAGCAGGAGTTAACAGTTGTAGCTGGTCAAGGTGAAGATACTAAGTAAAAAGTACAATATTTTTTTCTCTAAAAAGTGGTGGAGTAGAGGTATAAAATATCCTAGAATGGAAATACTTAAGTAAAGTATAAATACCTTAATTACAGCATTTAAGTAAATGTACTTTCCAGAGCTGAAAAAACTATTTGAACTCATGAACTAATTTTTCTGATATTTTGTTTACTAAACAATAAATAAATAATAAAAGTAATCATTAATATTTAGATTAAATTTTTTCCCACTGGCTAATTTACTCATCCTGACATTTCAGTGATCTTTATTCGCAGATTTCAGCTGATCTCTCCGAACAACCAGCCAATTGCGACAGGGAGGGGAGTCCGAGCCCCGCGCCCTGAAATGGATTCATACGGAGCTTCACTCAACCGCAGCCAATCAGTGGCGAGCGGCCTGGAGAAGACTTCACCCACGTGGAAGCCGTCCCACTCTCGGAGCAGTAGCACTCTGTCATCTCGCCACTCCAGACAGGTTTGAGGATTTGTGTCAGTTTAGATCTTCAAGGGCACTCTGAACCAGAAAAGGCCCAGAATAACATCTGACTTGTTTTGGAGTTTCAGGTGTTTTTATTCTGAATTATAGTCGTTATTTAGCATGAATCCCCTGAGATGAGTGAGCCAGTCTTATATTGTGAAAGAGAGTAAAAATGCTATAATAAAATGAGTGTTATTGTGATGATGATGATGTTTAATTTTATCAGTGTCATACATACAACTATGTATGTATGTATGGTCTTACAGGACACTGCAAATTAATTTAAACCACACTCAAAATACAGCATTTACACAGTCAAACAGCACTTTTAAAGAGCCAAAAAGTAAATAATACCATTTCATATATCAGATTTTTAGACATTCAAAATAAAAAAACGAAACATAATTCACTGATTAATAATAAGAATATTGCTACTAGTACTAGGGAAGTCAAAGTAATTAACTGGTCCATCTTGCCTTCTTTTCTGAGCTTTTGAGACAAATCTAGCTCACTTAAACACATCAAAATGAAACACTTTTTTGTGCACAAGAATATTTCAAGGTTTTGTCGAGCCGTTTCATGAAAAACTGACAATGTCAAATCATGAACTAGATGTATTTTACTTTTTGCTACCCCCAAATTTGAACACAATCCTAATTGTAAGACGTCAGTACAAAAAAGTAATTAAGTGTTTTTCCCCATTTCGTGCTGTCTATAGATTATAAAAGATTGGGAAGTGATTGACGACCTTCAGGTAGACATGCAGACAGGAGGTGAACATGATATGACCATCCCGGGTATCTGTGAGGGATATCTTCTCAAGAGGAGGAAGTGGCCTCTTAAAGGTTGGCACAAGGTGAGAAATACATCCACTCTGTCATCCTGAATATCACAATGTTGACTTTAGGAATAAAATCAGCTTTATAAAAAAAAAAAAAATTGCGTTTGATCTGTTTTTCAGCGATACTTTGTCTTGGAAGCAGGAATCCTGCGTTACTCCAGAAATCAGCAAGATGTAAGTGAACATGACATTTTATAACAGGATATGTTCGACAACTAGATTTGAAAACACTTTGAAAACACTTTTTTTCCCATTAAAGGTCTCCAGGGGAAGGGTACAGGGCTCCCTGGATGTTAGCCTTGCAGTGATGTCGATAAATAAGAAATCGAATCGGATCGACTTGGATGCAGGAGACATTCTCTATCATATGAAGGTAAATGATCAAATTCTGCTCCTATTTTTCAAACAAATAAGTGTTCGACAAATAGTGTGCCTTCAGATTAAAAATACTTTTTTGTCTCTCCAAGGCAAAGAGCCATGAAATCTTCTACATTTGGGTAACCAAGCTACAAGCGCACCGCTTGTACAAGAAGAATGAGGCAGCTCATCTTCACAGCGGCTTCCTCCAGACTTTGTCCTTTAGCACTGCAGCTGGACAAGCTCAGAGAAATGGAGATTTGGTGACTATTAAATAAAAAATGGAGTCAAACCTAAAATAACAATCCTCATTGACTCATAGCAAGTCTTAACTCCTGTGTCCTCTTCTGATTGTTTTCATGTTACCAGAGCTCTGCAGGCGTGGCGGATTCAGCTGGAACATCTGGAGCGCTGCCTTCAGCTAACACCGCTGTGAACAGCAAAGTGTCTGCCTGGCTGCAGCAAAGTCACAACCCAGACATCTGTGTTCAAGGTATTTGTCATAAACTCCCAAAGACACAACATCCACAAATTAACAAGGTCTGGATAATCTTAGAAAAATATCCTTAAAAGGGAACTATAAAGCTTTTTAATCAGATCATCAACACCACCAAAAAGTCAGAGTTCTTTGTTTATGCCAACGTAGGTTCTTTATCCCTACGAGGAACGTGCTGGTGCATTGGATGCGCCAAAAATACAAATATACAAATATACCATTATACAATTATACAATTATTCAAATCACACAAAAATCACACAGAATATTATATAATTATATAATATTAATATTGCAAAATCTAATCAATTACCCCAAACAAAAGGGCAAGGAAGAAGAATGTGTGGAATAAACTTACCTGATCAATTAGTCACAGAAAATCAATAAAAGAATATATCTCTCATGTCTTCTTCCAGAGCTGAACCGTTGCCATTTGGACCTTTCTGAGCTAAACCGTTTAATCCAGAGCCTGCAGACATTGGAGGCAGGCCAGGCTTTCACTAACGGAGACTTAAAGCGCATCATCAGCATACAGGTTGACTTACAGATCAATCTTTCTATTCTCGGGAGCTTCACATGAAAAGTAAAATTATTTATGATGAGATTTTGGTTTTAATTTTTTTGATACAGAATCTTTCGCTTGAGAAGCCGAAGAAGTCGAGGTCAGGGAAGATGTGGGGTCACTCTCGCACACTTTCCAGAGTGGAGGCACTGGGAATGGTATGTAAATTACTCTTTGTATTCAAACCAAAAGAATGAATGACATTGTTTTACATTGATTCAGTCCTTTGATTTGTCATGTCAAGTTTATTTGAAATACTAAATGTTTTTTTTTATTGAAATCATAACTGAAGTCTTATTACTGGTCATTTTTTTTTAGAACATATTGGGTTTAAGTATTTGACATCCAAATCCTCCTGTAACATTTTGGGACCTTTTTCTAATCCAAAGCCTATTCGTGGGATTACTAAATCGGTGAGTTGGCAATGGGTAGACAATTTGATTCATAAATGATTCAATATTCTCAATTTACACACTGTATCGACCTGAAAATGAATTGTTACTGTATTAATAAAGACATAAAAGATGCCCTTTTTCAGGTAAAAATGCTAATTTTTGTTGTAATTGCTATTTGTGTTTGTTCTGTTTTATTCAACATCCACAACATATGTATATACCACAGTATCTTGTTTTTTCCCACATAATAGAAAAAAGCAATGACATGATTTTGATTTATAGAAGTCAATAAAAAGATCAATCACGTAAACCTGCATTTAGTTTAGATGCTAGTAGTTTTTAACCCTGTTCTTTAGAAACCAAAGTACTGTTGGTTGTCTATCCTGCCATCTAGTTTGAGTACTACAGCTCTAAATGTTTTCTTTCTTACAAAACAAACAGGACCTCATTTAAATGAGTTAAGTTAAAATAGTTGAGTAGCTGGTATGACAGATAACCTGCAGGGCTATGGTTCTTGAGGTCCAGGTTTGAGCCACAAAAAGGAAGCCAACCTGATTATCTAAGTGTAAAGAAATCCCTGATTAGATGAGTAATAATAAGACTTCTAACTATGTCTTATAGTACAGGTACAGAGTGACCTGTCATAGCAGGAAAAGCACAGGTGTAACTAATAGCATTAATGATGGCTCTGTTCCAATTTGGTCAATTCAGTTTAATTGATTTCACCAGGATAAATATGGGCACAATACAACAACAATAAAACAATTAAAACTGTACTAGAGAGCCAATATACCATGGTCCTTTCACATTTCAATGGTACAAATATATTAGTTACACCTGTGTTTGACAAAAAATTTCACATGAAATTGAAAAGAGACATCCATTTGTCTATCTGCATGCGTTCTCCTCTTTTATGTATGTATGGTAAATATGACGCTACTGCCAGCAGCTGGTTAGCTTAGCTTAGCATACTGACTGAAAACAGAGGGAAACAGCTAGCCTGGCTCAGTGGAAAACGTAACAACCAGCACCTCTAAAGCTCACTTATTAACATGATGATGTTGGCAATTAGCTCAGTGAACAAGTCTGCTTAATTACGGCCTCACCAAGCTGCTAACTTGACTGTTTCCAGTCTTTATGCTAAGCTAACCCCATTACATCCAAAATAACAGATAACACTGGAACTGTTAGATTAACCAATGAATCTTCCATCCTCCTCTGTTTACCTCATAGCTGTCTTCCAGTCACCTGAGCAACTCGTCTCACCTTGGTGCATCAGTCCCCTCCATCCCTGACTACGTCTACTCCCAGCTGTCCCCTCCTACTGTCACACTGTCGCCTGAGGGCAAGAAAATCCAGCAGGACATCTGCGCCATGTCGCTACGAGGTCAGAAAAACAGATAACATGCATATATACACACAGACAGACATGGTTTCTGCAAGGTAGTATAGAGTAGTAACTTTAATATTAAAAAGGCATGACTATGTGTCCAAGTTTCCACTAAAACTTCTGTGTCTTTTATTTCTCTTCAGTGCTTGCTTCCCTGAAGTCAGTGCATGAAACTCTGTCCCAGGAGAGGCAGAAGCTGCAGGAAGTCTGGGAAACTAACAACATCCACCAGTCCAACACATTAGCTGAGGTAAGATTCATACGGCACCTGTCATCTGGATTCTCCGGCACATACTCCCTTCATGTTTTTGATGGCTGGTTTTCTTTGCACCTCCTTCTTTCTCTTCCTTCGCCGTTAGCCTGCAGTGGGGAGGCATTCGTCCCACGGGCCTCCTTCAGTAGCAGATTCAGCTGCGGAGTATTTTGACGCCAGCGATGACATCCTTTGTGGTAGTTCCTCTGAGGTGTCTGATGAATCAGGACTTAGTGACGGAAGCACCACCAACTCTGAGCCAGAGGAAGGACATGGTGGGTTACATGTGCATGAAGTATGTTATTTTAATTAGTTTCAGCTACTCTGACTACTAATGTGTTTTTTTTCTTGGCAATTTTAAACTTCACAAGTTTATAACTTTTAAAGAAAGTTTTTTATGTGTGCATAACACCATTCTGTGTGCATAACACCATTCTGAATATGTTAAAGCATTTTTAGCCAGCTAGCATGGCTGTAGACTAGGCAAGGCAGCATACATTTATTTGTACGGCACATTTGAACAACCCCGGTAATTAAAAGTGTGTTTACAAAAAACATAAAACGCATCTAGACCAAATATAAAAGTAACATAAATTATTATAATAAAAGAAAAGAGGGAGTAAAAGTTACAGTGCAGTGACAACAACATTAATCAAAAGCCTCAAAGTTGGTCAAAATATGGCACAAACCTTTTGTTATTGATAATTAATATAAGTAGCCTGAGAATTCTGTCTTTATTACTTATTTGTGATCAATATTATTTCCTTTCACCAACATTACAGCCTCAGCCACCCGGAAGTACCGTGCCAGCATTTCCAAGTCTCCTAACAGTGTCGTTGCCAAGAGCACTGGCCGGCGAACTACCCTGCCCGCTACCTGTCCCGACAACAGCCATGTGGGCCTCATGGCTATCCTCTACAACAACATAGGCAAGGACATTTTGAAAAGTCACACCCCTCTGCAGTTACATGTAAATCATTTTTGACACTTTTGGCACTTTTCTGAGGCTCGTGCTGTTTTTCCTCAGGTAAAGACTTGGCTCGAGTGTCCATGCCTGCTGCTCTCAATGAGCCTGTTAACCTGCTGCAGCGGCTGTGTGAAGAGCTGGAGTACAGTGAGCTGCTGGATACTGCCAGCAATACATCGGACCCCTACCAGAGGATGGTAAGACTGTTCAAACATATGTTATGTAAGACAACTGGTAGTAGTATTGAGTCAGATTTGTTGTAGAAACCCAGATTAATCTGTGTATACGCCTGCTTAGATGTTGATAATATTACATAAAAATATACATGTCCTGCATAATAATAGTGAAAGAATGAAGTCAGAGACAATTATTTTTACTTGGTAATTATAACACAGGAACATTGTCGGGCACCTTTCTTTACTTAACTGGCAAAAAAATGAAGGCAAAAGAATGGCTGCTTGTTGTCTTGTGGTAATTATCCAGCAACAAAGCGATGATTAATATAATAATATATGTTTTAACGAACAACAAGTTCCACTAGAACTGCAATTCAATTCATCGATTCATTGATTAGTTGCGATTAAATTAAAAACTATTTTCAATATATAATATAATTGTTTCGTTTTGTGTCCAAATTCTTTGATTTCAGCTTCTCATAATATTTTCAGTTTTTTCTATGACAGTTAACTGAATATCTTTGGATTGTAGGCAAAACTAAACATTTTAGGACGTCACCTTTTACTGATATAATGAAAACTATTGATAGTTGCAGCCCTATTACCCACCCTCATACCTCTGAATTAAATTAGAACAAAAAACTTGGTAGACAATAAGATTATAAAGAATAAGCTCAGGCACCAGGTGCATCAGTAAGTGCAGGGAAATGCTGGACCTGGGTAGGACTAACTGAGAAATAAGATCTTAAAAGGAAGCACAGTTGGCGTAGAAAAATAAATAATAAACTGCTATAATCCCTTACAGATTAAAGATTAAACAAAATATATTGCACATATCATTTACAGGTTTACATTGCTGCCTTTGCAATCTCTGGTTACTCGACTGCGACGTTCAGAAACCGCTACAAGCCCTTTAACCCGGTGCTGGGGGAGACCTACGAGTGTATCAGAGAGGACCGGGGCTTCCGCCTCATCAGCGAGCAGGTATCTCAAGAAGGAAACTTTTATTACACAATATCTTATTCAGGAATATCTTACACCCATAAAAGCCTTTAAGAGCTCTGACTGGCAACTACAGGGGAACCAAAAAACATTTTTAAAACTGGGAAAATACCATTGGGAATTACAATTTAGCCCCCATAATCCCCTCTTGGTAAATTAAGATAAATCACCTTTTGGTGTAATCGAGCGGCTCAGCCACACGGAGCGGCACGAGTCAACACTGGGTGATTTATTGCTTTAATAAAATCACTAACTAATTATGTTGTCATTTATTTTCAAAGTCACTTATTTTGATGGTCTGTGATCAGCAATTAAGTGAAAAATAATTAAATGTCAGTCCTCATCAAAGCAATTAATTTCTCGAACAGTAGCTTTACAATGTAGTTCATAAGAAACTGATATTTAAGTGACCTGTTACCAAGTTTTACTGTAGATTGTAATGTAGCTTAGCTCAAGATACATATTCATGAGTATACTAATACAATATTTATAGCATCATGATTCAGTGGCTCCTATTAATATCACTGATTATAAATCATTGTATGTGAGCAAAACCCTTTCCCAGGACAGGTAATATTATACAGGTATGAACAAAAACACTAATAATGGCTGTGTAGCATTAAGGTCTTCCAGTTCTAGTTGTATTATGCTGAAAACAAAAAAAATCCTATATAGTCCTTAAAAATGCTTACAAACAAGCTTACAGTTGGATAAAGTTGCTATGCTCAACTTAAAGGGGAGCTTTAAAGGGGAAGTATTTACAAGCACTACTGCAAATGTAAAAAAAAAAAAAAAAAAGTGTATTCTTCTAAGTGGATTCTTAAACTTAGTCCTCTTCTTTATACTTTACCAGGTCTGCCACCATCCTCCCATTTCTGCCTGCCACGCAGAATCAGAGAATTACTCCTTTTGGCAAGGTGAGACCAAATGTTTGTGTTTGTTAGTGCTGTTAATCACATGTATTTTTTCCAACTTTGCTTCGGGGATGCATTTGAAAAGCTGTCACTGGACTGTTTAGAGTAATATTCTCAACAACACTTGTTTTTATCCTTGACCAGACCAGCGATGGAAAAATAAATTCTGGGGGAAGTCACTGGAGATTCTGCCAACAGGGATGGTTAATGTTACTCTTCCAAGGTAAACACCAGGCTGTGTGTGTACGCAAATGTACTGCGATGCCTCTGTTAGATGAGGCATGATAGTAGCCGTTAAATGGAAGAAAAGATCAGACTTTATGTGAAACAATTATGGTTCTTTCTAAGGTGCAGTTATATTGCATGCACCTTAACCATCACTACTGGTTTGTCCAACTAATGAGTGTTTTAATTGTCTGTTAAATATTTTTTTGGCTAATTTATTAATCTTTTTAACAAAAAATGTCAGAAAACTGGGAAAAAAACCCCAAACCCCAAAGATATTCAGATTAAAAGATATAAAAGAGAGAAAACATTAACATTTGAGAAATTAAAATCATAGAGAGGAATTTTTGCTTGTTAAATTGCCAGATTTGGATGTTTTGTCCAGGTATGGAGACCACTATGAGTGGAACAAAGTAGTGACCTGCATCCACAACGTCCTCAGTCAGCAACGCTATCTGGAGCATTACGGAGAGGTCACCATCCGCAACCTCAAAAGCAACGTCTGCACCTGCAAGATCACCTTCGTCAAGGTGAATGAAAACCTTGTGCTGTCATGTTTTGTGTCAAGTTGACTTGTCTTTGTTTGGTTCCACAGCACATCTCAAGGTTTAGACTGACGTGTTTGTACTTTGTTGTAGTCTCGTTACTGGGGTTCAGAAACGAACAAGAATGAGGTGCAGGGCACAGTGCTGGACCAAAGCGGGAGTATCATACACCGGTTCGGAGGTCTGTGGCATGAAGGCATCTTCTGTGACACTCTGCCCACTCCGAAATGTGTCTGGAAGCCAAGTGAGTCCATAGCGATCACTAAGAGGACTTGGGACAGTTTGTCCTTGAGGTGTTTCATGTGTGGATGTAATTAGTCTGATTGCTGAGATTCTGCTTTAGAGGCGGAGGAGTTTAAATGGAAGTGAAGTGAAATGATCCCTCTTGCCAAAACCTAATGCTAATCGGCATAAATCCAAACGTCACGTTTGTGCAGCAGCTCACCTGAGAGTCTTATGTCACCCCACAGATCCCCAGCCAAAGGATTACCTGCAGTACTATGGCTTCTCCACCTTCGCCATGGAGCTGAATGAACTCACCCCGGACCTGAAGCCTCTCCTGCCTCCTTCAGACAGCCGCCTGCGCCCAGACCAAAGGTGAGCAGAGCTGGAGATGATACTAGCGTACAAGAACAGTAGTAGAGATCATATTTTGCTAGTTTAGTATTACTGCTAATTGCTGCTCTCAGTTGCAGGGGTTACGTGTCCCAAGGTACATCAAATTTTCTCAGACATTGTTTAACGTCTAGAAGACAAAAACACTGGATTTTCTCTGGTGAAAAAAGGAAAATAATGTGTTTTAATGATCACTGTAAAATTGGACCAAGATCAATAGGTAGTGTATTAACGTACATGTAATTTACTAAGTTATAAAAGTTGATTTAGTGTGAAGTTATTCTTGAAATTCTTCCTCTTTTCATAGGATGCTGGAGGATGGAAAGGTGGAAGAATCAGACACGAAGAAAGATGAAATAGAGGAATTTCAAAGGGAGCGGAGAAAAGAGCTGAGCAAAAAGGGTGAAGAGCACATTCCACGTTTTTTCAAGTAAGTTCATTTATTTTATAAAACCTGCTAATAGAAGTAGAATAACAAACTATCCTGTATCATCTGTTTAATGCCTCACAAGAAATGTTTAAATCATCTTGATTGATTCATGAATGATTGACAATAAAGACCATAACATTTGGGATTTATTTTGTCTCAATAAATAATTACAAAAAAGGGAAAATTGCTCATCACAATATCCTAGAGCCCAAGGTGATGTCTTGTTTTGTCCAACCAACAGTCCAAAACCCAAAAATATTGAATTTACTGTGTGAAGACCAAGAAAAGCAGCAAATTC